TCATCATCATCATCATCATCATCATCAACATCATCAAATAATTGCATATCATCAAGTAATTCCTTTCTTTTCTTTTCTTTTTTCTCTTTATCTTGTTTCAATCTATCCAAATATTCTCTAATCTCCTTTTTTATATCATTTGTAGCTTGTGGGCATGCTCTTATATTCCCAGAAATTCCGGCTAAATGCTCTTTTTGTCGAAAAATACCACCCATATAAGTATTTCCACAGAGCAAGCATATCACACAATTTCTATCTTTCAGATTTTTTAGTTTAGCATATTTGTAAGCTCGATCCTTGTTACTAGAAAAGTGGGAAGAAGACATTGCCCCAAAATAAGTATAACAATATTATTGTACAAGAAGGAATAAAAAGTTACCGACTCTGTGAATTAGTGCTCGACTTCTTCACGGCCTCTGAAATCCCCAATTTCTTATCACAAATTCACCTTAACATCCCCAAATCAACAATCAAAGGCATCAAATGAACATCCAAGTATCAAACAACCGCCAAATCGAAGATTTCGATGGAAAAAAAAATTTAGCCAAATTTGTTTTTCCTTTGTTTAGGGGGTATAGTAACCCCCCAAACAGTTTCCCTAAACTTTGGAACTACAGAAGACCATTTTGCCCGTCCCCGAGAGGCAAAATCGAAAAAACTTTCCGCGGTAACGATGCGGTGCGATGCCGTCTGATGCGGTGCGATGCGAGATGCGGCCTAATGCGGCGCATATGCAGCTGCATCTGTCAAAAGCGCATATGCGCCAGTTCGCAATTCGGATGAGAGCGCATCCCGCATTATGCGGCCGCATTTTAAAACACTGATCGAAAGTGCAGTCTTTTTGGTACTTCTTTGCCGTCAATCATAACTAGTTCCTCGTCTACTTCTGTTATTACAAAACTTGCATTCCATATACGCTGTCTTAATCCAGCTAATTTCAAAACCTTTAGATTCTAGAGCATCCCTACAAAGTTCTAACTTTGTGTTGACGTCATTTCAGGTCTCATCGATCAAAAACTATGTCATCTGCGAACAACAAACATCACAGTACCTCATCCTGTAGATGCTTAGTTAAGTCATCTATAACTAAGACAAAGAGGTACGGGCTCAATGCTAACCCTTGATGTAGACCTATTGTCACTGAAAACTCACTCTTCTCTCCACTGGCTAGCACTCCATCGTATATATCTCTTACCAAGTCGATGTAATGCATGGAGAATCATTTCTTTTTTAACACCCACCAAATCAAGTCTCAAGGTACTCCATCATAAGCTTTCTCTAGATCAACAAAAACCATGTGGAGGTCTTTTCCCTTAGCCCTAAACTTCTCAATTAGTTGTCTGAGTAGGAAAATAACCTCGATTCTTGACCTCCCTGGCATAAAACCAAATTAGATTTCAGATACACTCGTTTCATGCCTTAATCGTTGCTCAATCACTCTCTCTCAAAGCTTCATAGTATGGCTCATAAGCTTGATCCCTTGATAGTTCGCACAATTCTGTATGTCTCATATATTATTGTAAATAAGCACCACAATACGTTTCTTCCATTTGTCTGGCATTTTCTTTGTTCTCAAAACCTTGCTGAATAGCTTCGACAGCCAATCAATGCCAATCACCCCCATGCACTTCCAAACCTCTATTTGGATACCATCTGGTCCTAAAGCCTTTCCTACCTTCATCATTTTCAACACTCCTTTCACTTCCAATATCCTAATCCTACAAATGTATCTATAACCTCCGCCCTCATTTATACCAACAGATCCTTCTACCACTATGTTCCCATTGTATTCGTCATTTAATAATTTTTAAAAATAAACTATCCACCTTTCGTTGACCTCTTCAGCCTTCACCGAGACCCTTTGATCCTCACTCTTAGTGCATTTAATATGGTCTAGATCCCTACACTTTTTCTCTCTCATTTTTGTTAATTTGAAGACATATGTTTCACCTTTTCTTGTTCTCAGTTTACTGTATAGATTATCATATGCCTTAAGTTAGCATTTTTATATTCTTCCAAGTTTTGATCATGTTTATTATACTACCAAGTGTTATAACATGATCGTTTTTCACTAATGGCTTTCTGAACCTCATCACTCCACCACAAAGTTTCTTTATCGAAATGTATTTTCCCTCTAGATTCTTCTAAAACTTCTTTTGCCACTTTCTTAGTTTAGCTTGCCATCTCACTCTACATAACATTGACCTCATGTTCAGAGTTTCATTCTCCTTCTTTAATTAATTTATCCCTAAATAAGTCTATTTTCTCATTTTTTAAATTCCACCACCTAGTTCTTGGACACCCATTACTTTTACCCCTTCTCTTCCATGTTTTTATGCAGAAGTCCGTAACCACGAGCCTATGTTGGGTTAGTCAAACTCTCTCTCGGGATAACCTTGCAGTCTTTATATGATAGTCAATCTACCTTTTTAACTAGGAAAAAGTCTATCTGGCTTTTATGTGATCCACTTTTATTGGTTATTAAATGTTCATCTCGCTTTTTAAAGCACGTGTTTTTTATTGCTAGGTTGTAAGTTAGAGCAAAATCTGGAATAGCCTCACCCATCTCATTTCTTTCCTCAAACCCATATCCCCGTGTACCCCTTCATATTCTCTACTATCCTACACTGGAAAAAAACACTACAGGGACCTGCCTTCTTGAAGTGGTGGAACAACACTAGCAGCAAAACACCCCCCAGATATGATGAAAGACAACTCCAAGAGACCAGGAAATATGGAATACCATGTCAAAATTGTGAAGAACATGCGAAGGGTGTTGGGACATCCTTTAGGCCCATAAAATGATGTTCTTTGAATCCCCTTCCACGACACGGTAACAACCCTAAAAGGGGTCAAACCTAAAGAGATCCTTCCAAAAATGTCTGCTCTCAACTCAAGTGGAGTTGTCATTACCAGGAGGACCACAAAAGAATAATTAAATGTTGGCCTCTTCATCCCTAAAAATAACCCCAAAACCATCAGGTTCGGGCTTACTTAAGGAACAGCCATCAAAGTTAAATTCAACAAGCCATGATCCGAGGGAAACCACAAAGAGGATCAAGGTTGTCTGGTCAGTTTGTTGGGAAACGAAGACCTTCCAATTGGTTAGGGAATCTGATCAAGAGAAATGCTTGAGGAGCATATGTCTAGATGCCCAAAAAATGGTAAGGTTAAGGAGCTCGTCCAAAACATATTGAATAGACTTCTGAATGCCTTGAAATATCCTTGAATCTCTCTCCTTCCAAATTATCCAGAGAATAGCTAGGACCCTAGCCCTCCATAGGAAGAGGCTGACGTCGGGGTAAGATGCGATGAAGAAGGCCAAAAAAGGCCACCCCCTGGAAATGGGTGTAACCCACTGACAATTAAACTCCTTCAGATTAACTCCCAAAAGGCCGCAGCAAAATGAAAGTACAAAGAACAGATTGCAAGAGGAAAGCCTCAACTTTGGAGATGATCAATTGCGACTTCCTGATTACGGATTGTATGCCAAACCAACTCATGGATTCGAGGGAGCAAGGGGTAATCCAAACTATGTTGGGGGGGGTGGGTGATGGATGGTGTGGCTGAGAGAGCTTTATAGAAGGAGCAAATAGCGAAGGTCTTAGTATGAGATGGGGTCCAAATAAGCTTGTCTGGGACAGAGGTATTTTTTGAAAAAACCTAATAAAAGGTTGAGAAGAGCGAGTAGGTCAGTGATTTTGGAATCTATGAGGCCTTCTAAAGATTAGGTTCCACATGAAGGGTTGGTAGGAAGGTCTGAAATACTCAGCAATAAAAGCCGAAGGCAAGTCTAAAACTAAGAAAAGGTTGGGTTATTGATTTCTAAGGGGACACCCCCCAATCCAGAGATTAGGCCAAAAGGAGACCCCATTTCCACAGTTTACCTTGAACCTAACAAGAGAGTGAAAAGATTGGCAAGAGGTGAACATGCTTGGAGTGCCATTGTGCAAAGATTGGTTTACACAGGACATGCAAGATCTCTCTCCATCAACTATGTAAAGTGCCATTATGATCTCTTCAACCTATTCAGTGATGACATTGGAGTAAAAAACATGTAACATGTAATAGATGACAATGCTGCAAGCACTACATTGAATAGAGTCATACACTTCATAGATTAGACGTAGCAGCCATCTGAGGAGAGCCAACCCCCTAGCAAACCTCAAACTACTAAGCCCTAAAGCAACTTTCACGGCTTGTCAATACACAAAGGGAAGCCTAAATAATAGCACAAAGGAATTCCTACAATGCAGCCCAATCTACAACTGTGAGTTTCAAGCAACACTGACACCTCAAGTGATGAGAAGTGTAAGACCTTAGCTGTAGGTGTTGACACGCATAATTGAAACCCCCATAGAAGTGCCAGACACTCGAGGGGAAATGTAAAGATGAGTAAACAAAAATTCGACCAAAGGGAAAAACATTTCAATACAACTATCTAAAAGTGCATGGGCACGGTACCCAAAGTCAGCATTACTTGGATAGATGTGCCAAACACACCTGAAATGAGTCACGTGTAGGCACCAGTAATGGTGTCCCAGAGACACTGGCCTTACAATCACAAGAGTCTCTAGCACACACAAACTAATGTATGTAAAAACAAAGAATTCAACTTTCCCAGGACAATACAGGGAAAAGGATAGAAATTAATTACCTTGAAAAACAGAGAAAAGTATAGAAGTGATATTTTTTGTATTTCTGTTTTTTGGCTGTGTGACAACCCATAGATAGAAGTACAGGTACAGCAACAAAAAATGTGTAGATCTTAGTAAAAAGTCACTTTGTGTCATAAACCTAACACAATAGAAATGGGTTTAAAAGACAAATGAGACAATTTGAGAAGAAAAGCATACCTTGGCCCAGAAATTCAACCAGGTTCTCATTGCAAAGTTTTTGTAGTTCCTTTATAGGTTTGTCTTTTTTTAATAATGCCGTGACATACTTGGCAAGAATCACTGGGTCAGCTTCCGTCCTACAAACCATGATAACACATATTGTGCCATTAAAAAAATTTTAAGCACATTAAAGATGAATGACAAATACTCATAAATTCTAAATTAAAGGAAAGATTATTAAATATAAAAAGCAATTACAATTTGAAATAAAACCAAGTCATGCCAAAAGTGTTGTTAGCCACTATTATTTTTGTTTAGATCATATACATGTTCTTTGTTCTACTACACATGCGCATGCGAATGGTTTGTGTGGGAACCCTACCTGCATTAATTTGTTTTTAAGCTTTAGAAGAGTTTAAGAACTAGGTCCTTGTTTGTACAATATTTACAATGTATCCTCACTACAATCCGCCTTGTTTCTCAAGTACATAAGAACCTTTCTGCATATGCTGTTCCTCACTATAGGGTCCATTGGGAATTTCTATTCGCCATCTTTCATTCATTGTCTCTCTTTAATTTCTAGAGTGGGGGAAGGGGGGAAGGGGAGCGTTTCCTTACTTCCATAACACAATTTCATTTTTTCTAAGTCATCTCCTTTGGCACCACTAGATTGGGATGATGGAGGTCATTCCTTGCCTGTCAATTTCTCTCTAGCCATATAGCACAAATCATAGAAGTGGGAGTCGGGTAGGGAGGTTGGCACTTCCCCCATCTTCCCTGGGAAGCTCACTCTAACGATTCCAAAATTAAAGTCCAAGCCAAGCTTGTCTCCTAATCAAGGGATCGTCATCCCCATCTTTCAAGGATTGTTGTCCTTGATAAAATGGATCTTCATCCCTAAGTGAACAAAATTCGAATCCCCATGGGAGACCACTAAATATGTGAGTATGATCCTAGTGTGAGGGATCTCGATGCTAAAGAGAGATTCAAAAGTTTTTTATTTTTGAACCATAGTACCAAATCTTCCAACCAAGGGGTCAGTTCTGCTCTGGAATCTCACTCATGTGCTCCAGGGATGGGAATCTCGCTCCTCTACAATATTTGAACCTCATAATATCAATCTTTCATATTAAGGACCGAGATCCTGAGTTACAAGGTGTCCAGAATTCATGGTATTGTAGTATAGAAATACAGTATAATATAGTACAGCATTGTATTATAGTATATATTAGTATAATATAGTAGCATATACAAGAAAGCATAACATATGCTAGATATACTAGATATTTGTATTAGTAAATTCAAATATAGTAGCCTATAGCATGCTATAGGAACATGTAGTACAAAGCATAGCATTACAGTATATTATAGCAATATATTATAGTATAGCAGTGTTGTACAGTATAGTATAATCCTTGAGTAACGCAACGTATTGTAGCATACTACAGTAATATATTATTGTATAACAATAAGGTTTAGAATTGCATTATATATTAGAATCTAGTTCACTAGAATTTAGGGTGTACGGAACGCAGTCCCTACTAATTGGAGCTTCATAGTAATTATGATCTTGACGAAATCTTGATTTTGGATTTGATGCGGTGCCAATCCTGGTAACTATGTTTTGAAGTCAGAGTCTTAGATTTCAAGCTAATTTGTTGCTATCTAACGATTTTCTAGTTAACGACCACTTATTAAAAAGTTTTGCATTCCATTTTCATGGTCATTTTTTACATTAGCAGTTGTGAAACCAACGAGCTGACTAGGACGTGCTTGAGCCGACTCAAACATGGCAGTTCCCAGGTTCTATATTATCACAAACCACTGAACGGCTAGGGTTTTCTAAAACTGTGTTAATGAATCACCTAGTTCACTGTGGGTTCTTTTTTCATATTCTTTTCCTTTTTCTCATCATTTAGGCCGACCTGCCTCAAATCAGTGAGCCGAATCAAATTAGCAAATGCCCAACTTCGTACTCAATTCCTTTTCCTTAAACACCATCGAGAACTCATTGCTCCTTCATGGGAGCTATATTGAATAGCGTAGTTCCCTGTAGAGACTCGGGTGATTCCTGATATTCGCGTTGATGTTTCTCCTTCTTCATATTTATTTCACTTTTTTCCATTGTTCAAGCCAACCCACCAAGAATTGGCAAGGCAACTTGGAAATTGTCAAGGAACTGGTGAGCCAACCTGGAAATCGACTATCCGATTCGAATTATTGAGTGGTGAGTCAGCACCTAATTATTGCTTTCTAAACACTAACAAGAACTCAATTGTCCTCTATGGGAGATGCAGTTAATCACCCAATTCATTGTATGGACTTAGGCGATTACTGAGTCTGGGGATTATTTTCCATTATTCTTTCAATGTGTTTCTCATTTTCTCTTAATGATTTGATTTGTGGAATGTATACATGGGAGTGAGTTGTTCGGAGGTCACTCCTTGGAGTGAGTTGTTCTCTTCATAGGTAATTTGGGTTTCACACTATGGGATATTGAATTTGAGGGACACGGGTTGCACTCTAGTAGACGATTGTTGTAGAAACAAGTGGTATCATGGATTATAATCTCCTTGGTCATGGTAATGGAGCCATCTTGCTTTTTGAGTTCATTGATGGTAGCACGGTAGCTTTTAGTCATGGAATTAGAAAAGTAAAAACAAAGTCTAAGAGTTGCATTAGGTTATCCAAATTTGCGTCGATGCTTTTTTGACAAAGAGATTACTCATTATCAAGTTGTATAAAGAGAGCTCCCAATGGAGTTCCTTATCCTCATTATAAGGTTCAAAGTTGTTTGGAATAAACTCAAGTTGCTCTTGTAGCATCTCGAGTTTTTCCTCGACCTATTTAACTTCGACACCAATCTGAAGGTCTCTAAGTTCCATTTCCCAAGGCAACTTTGCTTTTTAGCTTGTGCACACCCAAATCATGCAACATTCCCTTATTCTTTCTTCTTTATACAGGATTCAATTTCGTGTTGCTCCTCATGCATTGCATTTACCTTGAGGTTGATCTGGCAATTATGCAATTGGTGAGGTGAGATTTTGCTTCTCTTATGATGAGCTCATGATTTAATCTAATAGATAAGTCATGTTCTTATCATGACCATACGAATCTATATTTTTCCTTTTCAATTTTCCATGCCTACCTATGATAATTTTCTGCTTCATGTAATACAAGAGTATAATGAAAGCAATACAGATAGAAATGGTAGCGAGCATGACCAACTCATTAGACTTCCAATCTCATTTATTCTTAATTTCAAATGACTTCTATACTCACTAAATTATTTTAAATACCATTGATGGAATAATAAACGTCTCTTGACTCAATCTCAATTGAAAGTGGGAGTGAATGAGAGAACTCTATAAAGTGCATGAGAGAAACTTTCATCATTTTGCACATCTAGTGTATGCATAGAGAACTGATGGTTGGACAAAGTGATCTAGCACGTTGTATATAGTTTTTAATTTTTCTTCTTTTCACCGACTAGATCACTTACAATGGTCCAAATACAATTAAATCAACTCAAATAAATCAAATAAACAACCAAAAGAGGTTCTCACTTGTTGCCACATAATTACAACTTCTTTTATTTAATAAACAAAAATAGCATAATGTATATGGGAATAAGAAAGGACAAGACATAATAAGACTGCAAAGCACAAAACAAGATGCTGGAAGATTACCTCATCCGGACTTAGTACACCCTACACCAGGTCTCCTCCAATGGCAAACGGGATCAATGGTCTATCTTAGATCTACAAAGTATGGAAAAGCCTTGGCTACTACCCTTACCAATAGGAGAGAAATGGAATTACTATGCTAACCTAAGCCTCAATGCGTAGAGAGAGTGTGTGTGCGGGGGGGGGGTCTAAGGGCAAGATGAGAGAAGGTGGCATGCCACCCTAGGTGAGAGAGAGAAATATGAAGAGAGAGGTGTGCGAGAATGAGATGGGAGAGCCCCTGTTTATAGAGTTTTCCAAGGGTTAGGATTTCTTAGGATTAGCCACCCTTATGGAGACTAAATCCCTACCATTGATTATAAGAGACATGTGGAGTGAGAAATTTGAGCCATCCAATCCTAAAATCAGCTATCACAATTCAAAGGAATGTGCTAGAACCTTATACTTCGGCTTCCTAAACCTAATTCCCATCAAATAATAAACCACAGAGAATAATATCGTACTTTCTTTTATTTTCCCAAATCTTCTTACACACAATATATGATTGAAATCAATACTCTGTAATTTCAAAACTTTCTAATTTCATGCAACTTGATTGAGTGCCTTAGATGGCACATCCATAAAATAGATCAAAGTCTCCAAGAAGAGGTGTGCCACTGATGGGGCCCCTAAGTGGGCCACACATACTTCTCAACGTGTGCATGGTGGGGCCCCCATAAATATAAATGAATTATAAATTACAATATTGAAAATAAACATTATTTCTCTTTGAATATTTAAATAATGAAAAATCAATATCTCTCAATTTATAAATCCATGTTGCAAAACTAAAATATATATAGACTTCTAAAAATCAAATAATCAATCTAAAAATTATTTAACATCAAAATAATTAATTCCAAATAATGTTGATGGAAATCAGATCTGAGTCATCTGACTATGTCTAGAAATTATAAAATTGCTGAAGCACTCCATCTTCTACTGTGGACTATAATCCTCACTTGCTTTCTCAAACTGACCCAACAGTTCCCATGACCTACAAACCACTGCAAGGGTTCATGATTGGGCTACCAAAGTCAGCCAATAGGCAAGGAGAACAAAACAATCTCATTTTATGAATTATAGGTTCTCTCCTAGAGACGAGTCCAAGGTCACACAAATTTGATGCAACCAAAACTCTATGATGTACAGGGGTATCTCTCGCACATGTACATGTTTCACCATCAATGGTGACTCGCTTTCCCGATACGGCTCCCATATGTACTGTCGTGTGATGGTTCAATGATGAGGCTTTGACCCTCTTCTCTAGAGGTCTACCATCACACACAAGGGTTACACAGTCCCTTGGCTCACTATACTGGGCAACTCCGACCTCATCAAGGGATGACCCTGCTAACCCTCATCGGTTTTTATGCCCATGTAACAAGGGATATCCAACTCAACTAGCCTAACACGTCAAGCCAAGTCTGAGTATTGGCAAATAGCATTTGCCTATCTCGATCCACAAAGACCATACTCCCACTGAGTTTATGTTCCACTATATCAAAATATTGAATACAACCTCTCATAAGGCCTTTGATGACCACGGACACCCAATAAGAACATGGTTGATGTTGTTTTTGATAAAGCTTCCACAATGGATTCTGGTATTGAGATGGTGTTGGCGGTCGCCACTAGGGACACCCAAACTGTTTCACACAGTCGTGCTAAATGCTACTACTAAGCGGCATTCTATTTGAAAAGGGGTCTTGAGTAGGGGGTGGCAATAGGATTGGGTCGGGTCCAGGTCTGGGCACGAATGTTGGACCTGGCATGTTAGTTCAAGATTCATTTGACCTAGACCCAGTCCCGATCAAATAAGGGTCAAGGTCGACCTAGCCCCCCCCCCCCCAAATATACACATAACTATATATACTGATTTATTTAGACCCGAGCAAGGTCCAACAAAGATTTAGTCAGGTTAGAGTCAGATCAGGTTAGGTCTAGGTCTAATGACCTAGTCACCATCCAGGTCCATGCCCTAGTAATATTTAGTTGGTTCAGGTCGGATTTGGTCGGCTAGGACCCAATCAGACCCAATCCCCTTACATGCTTAGACTTGTACTCCTTTTATCTCAATCATATGGTGCACAACCAAACATTTTTGCAAAACCATTATAGACCCAAATGAACCATTATCTTTCACTCCAAGAATTTTTGACAATTTTTCACAATTATTGTGTCCAAACCACGTATTAAAGAATCAGAATAGTTTTCGAACCCAATCTTAAGGTGGATCAATTTGTGGCCCGATGGGGTTCTAGGTAATCGGGGTACTTAAGAATCAAGGAAGGAATGGTTTGAAATCCATACTCTATCTAGTTCATGATTTTCATTTTCCAAAATTGATAACTCAATAACAAACTACTAATTCAAAACTACAAAACCTATGCTTTAGTGCTACTACCAACAAGCAAAAAGGGCATAGACCTCCCTAATAAATTTGTGCTCCATACAGACCTCGGGTCTATGTAAACCTCATGAACCTCCTGCAACCTTTAAATATTGGAGCAATAACCCTTCCCCACCTTTTTGCCTATAAAATTTACCCAAATATCCTTATTCTTTTCAAAAACATCAAAATCATCCCAATTCAAAAAACCACGACAAGCTTGAATTTGGTTGGAAGTTGCAAGGAAGGTGAAATGGGTTTTATAGGGTTTGGAAGAAAGAACTGGTAAAATAGGATCTACGTGTTTAGACTAGAGAATTCCAACAAGGTGCCTGTAAGGGGAAACCACATAGGCCTTGGTTGTTTAAGAATGTAGATGGGTTGTAGTTAGTTAATGAGTCGATTCGTGGTATTGGTCCAACCAAATTATTTGATCTCAAGCCTAAGCACACTGCGATGGGTAGCTGACCAAGATTCCCCAAAAGATTGATTTTCTGATAGGCTCAATGTGCCAGAAAGTGAGCCTACATCATCAAGATCAGTTGGAAAGGATTCATTAAAGTGGTTTGAAGAGTAATCAAGCCGGACAAGATTCTTTAGGCTCGGTGTATCAGAATCTCTCTAGAAAATCGATTTCCAACAACAGTCAAACATTGAAGTTGCTTGCATTTAAAAAGTCCCAGAGGTTTTGGAGATGAGGGTTCAACAATAAATCGGGAGGAAAAGCTCCTTGTTAATTTTTTATCATAGAGAATGAGGCTATGTGGATAAGAAGCGCTTGAGTATATCCTCTCTCTCTCTCACCCCTACTTCTATGGGAGTGGATATGATCCAATTTCGATTGGAATCTAAGAAATGAAGAGTTATCTGAATATTCCCCATTTTTGGCAAAATTCGGGTCGGTTGAGGTTTTTTTTTTTTTGACTAACCTAGACAATTGTGAGTTTTTTGAAAAGAATATGGGTACTTTGGTAATTACATGGAAAAAGAGGATAAGGGGCGTACTGGTCCGATTTTTTAATGTTAGAGGAGGTTTATCGGTTTTCATAGACACAAGAGTGTTTGTGGACCACAAATTTGTGAGAGGGGGTACATGTCCATTTCTGTATCAAAAAGTTCGTCCCTTGTTTACCAAGGAAAAAGTATAGAAGAGTTTTATGCCTATGGTCGAGAAGATGAATGTATTTCCATCCCAAGTAGGGCATCTTAAATCAATAAGAGTTTAGCATTCTTTAAAATGGAAAGAAATACATTAAACTAGGTATATTTACAAACAATGAAGAAACTCTAGGACATGAGGGTTCTCATGTACTTTAAAACCTAATTCAACAAAGTATTTATTAAAAATGTACATCAAATGTAAGACCAAAGCATAACATAAAACAGCAGCAGCAAGGACACCATTTAAAGATAAGGGTCGTAGAATTCTATGCTACCTATGACAAGAATACCAAGTGACTGTTTTTTCTTTGCTCTTTTTTTTTGGGGGGGTGTTAATATTAACTATTTTTCATTGGATTGAAATATTGATGCCCAAGTATATCTATCAATCTCCAAAATTGAATCTATTTACATCAGCCTCTACAAATATTTTTAAATTATTTATGAATATTTATAAAGCCCAACTAAGGCATCAAGGCCTCAGCTGCATAGCAGCAAATGAAACTAACAGGACAAACAGCCGTCGGGTCAAGGGTATTTTACCCACCAAGAGGAAGGGTGGGAATTTTCTCATCTCCTCAAGTAATATTGAAGTCATGATTTTGTTACAAGAACTTGGATCAGCAATCTACGATGGAACTACAGTCAACTCCATGTTATGGTACCACCCCTTTTAAATTTTGTGTTCCAAGGCATAAATTTATATCACATTATTATGTGATTGGCATTTGAGACTACTGACAATTGGATATTTGATTTTCGATTTTCTTTTACAAATGTAACAAAACGTATTAACGAACGAAGCAAACATCATTTGCACTAGGTGCAGAAGAACAGGGACGTATACAAAATATTAAAAGGTGAACAAAGGATAGAAGTTACAAGGTGGAGAAAGAGAGAGGAACTTGAATATTCTAGAGACTACAGCTAGGATGAGTAGTATGGTTAGTTTCTCAATCACTCATTCCTACCAACAGGGATGAGTGATCACTAGAATATAAGGATCTAGCACCTTGATAGATGACAATCGATTAATGTAATGTGCGAAACTCACTAAGTGAAATACAGATTTGTATAGTAACTTTCAAGCTATACATAGAGATTTATACATTTATGAAGATAGAATTTTAAAAAATAAAAAAAAAGATATAGTCATGCTTGTTTATGATTTCCGTAGCAATTGAACTCTAGGCGCTGCAAAAACTCCAAGCAAGTGCTTAGGGTACCTATGTCCTTGCACCTCAGATAACACTGGCAAAAACCCAATTATATCAGACTGTTGAATCAAGGTTTGAAACATATCACAGAAGTCATAATGAACCATCAACCTATGGTTCACTGATTTTCTCACTAAAAACACATAGTAACCTAAAGCACAGGGTTCCTTGATTCTTTTACTGAAAAGACATTTCTAACCATTGAACCCTAGGGTTCACAAACAGCAGAACTTCTCATATTCCTAAGCGAAAATACCGCCAAAATCTCATAAGAACCACAATATAAATACCATCATCACCAGCTTACACAGCCGAATGATTCAATCACAAAGAAAACAAAAATTGAAATAGGGAAATGCACTCACAGAGGTTCGAGATTCTTCACAAGGTAACTAGTCAAGGATGTCTCTTCAAATTTCATATCTCCGACCTTCAATCGTCATGTGTTACCACCCAACAGGAGAAAACCCTAGAATGACTTCCGTGCACATAATTGCAGAGAATAAGGTCAAAAGATGCGAGAAAAAAAAAAAAATTCGGAGGAAACAAATGATAGTGTCGGTACTTACAGAGAGACCATAGGGTTGTTCATTGAGCCTCGCTAACTCCCTAACTCTTCGAGGAAACAGATTAGGATTCTGTCTCTAACTCTCTGAGAGGGTCTCTCTCTATAGATTCTCTCTCTCTTGTTGGGGGATTGTAGGGCTTTAGCGAATGAATTTGTTTTTGGTGAACAAAAGCTTCTCTGCAAAACAGAAAAATCAAAGAGGATTTTATTTATTTAGAAACTGAGGGACCAAAATGCCTTTAACAAGTTTAATGACAGGAGCCGATTTTACACCATGGTATTTAGTAAACCACCCTTCCCTGTCATGCGGGTAAGAGAGAAAAGTTGTTACTGCCAAGTTTATTTGATAAATTTAAATGTGTTATTATTTAACGGCCCCACCCACATTTCCCAAATGCTAAAGCACAGCCACATACGGTTAAAGGAAAAAGTTCATGTATGGTTGCAACTTAAACATATAGAATTAAAGATCCACTTCAAAAAGTCTATTGGAAAAAGTTGTTTTAATGTTGAAAAACTCTCTAATTAATCATTTCAACATCATGATTTATGAATATGGAAAAAAAATTAAGTCTCAAAAATCGTTCATCTTGCAACATATTATCTAGACCTTCCATTTTCAAGATTTTTGTATGTTTTTAGATATATTTGATTTTAACTATTTTTGAGGTTTAAAATTTTACACCAAAATTTCATGTTATTATAAAATTTGTAGGTTGCAAACCTTGTAGAAACCACACCCATAGTTAAAATCAATTAAAATTTTTCTGACTAATATCCTTGCAGGGGTGACACTATTGACAAAGCATACAACCCAGTGTTCTAGATCGGTGGGGTGGATTGTTCATCTACATGTCGGATTGTTGGTTTAAAATAATTAAATAAGCTTAAAAGAAAAGGAGAAAAATGTGTAGGGGATTTTAAGGAGAAATCGAATCGGGATTCATACTATCCTGAATTTGGTTCGGTCACAACCAGCGTTTTAAAAATCGCCGAGTCGAACCGGACTCGCCCTGTTCGACTCGGAATTCACGAAAATGGACCGGATCGGTTTAAAAATCGGGAATCGTCCGGTTCTAGAGAGAACCGGACGATTCCGCACAGTGACTCGCTGATTCACTGTGCGGAATCGGCGAGTCCGTGAAGAACACGGGTTGCACAGTGTTCTTCACGGGATTCTTTCAAATTTGTCATTTTTTTATCATTTATTTTGTTTTTTTTGGCATGTGATCTGATTTTCAGGCTGTAAACAGCTTTATTCAGCTTTTT